GCTAGCAACAATGTAGTGCAGTAGTGCTGAGCACGTCTTTGTGTACTTCGAAGTAGCTAGCAACAATGTAGTGCAGTAGTACTGAGCACGTCTTTGTGTGGCTAGCAACCATATAGTGAAGTAGTGCTAAGCACGTCTTTGTGTAGCTAGCAACAATGTGTGCAGTAGTGCTGAGCACGTCTTTGTGTAGCTAGCAACAATGTAGTGCAGTAGTGCTGAGCACGTCTTTGTGTAGCTAGTAACAATGTAGTTAATTAGTACTGAGCACGTCTTTGTGTAGCTAGCAACAATGTAGTGCAGTAGTGCTGAGCACGTCTTTGTGTAGCTAGCAACAATGTAGTGAAGTAGTACTGAGCACGTCTTTGTGTGGCTAGCAACAATGTAATGAAGTAGTGCTGAGCACATCTTTGTGTAGCTAGCAACAATGTAGTGCAGTAGTGCTGAGCACGTCTTTGTGTTGCTAGCAACAATGTAGTGCAGTGGTGCTGAGCACGTCTTTGTGTAGCTAGCAACAATGTAGTGCTGAGCACGTCTTTGTGTAGCTAGCAACAATGTAGTGCTGATGAGGTTGCTGCTGTAGCTGTTGTGGTTGTGAGAGCCAAACCTACTGTACCTTTTTATTGTACTGCCCTAGCTAAGCCAAGCATAGGGCTTGAAAGTGATGACGTCAAAAACGGCCAGGGAGTACTAAGTTGTCATTGGATCCACTAAGGTGTGACTTTGCTATTGCCTCAGTATGTGGGTGCATAGCAACCCACTCATGTCGTATGCAGGGGTGATTTTTCTTCGCCACCAGTTGTAACCCCGCCCCCAGTAGCCAAATCAGTCAGTTTCACTGGTTACATCGCCTTGCTGTGAGTAAGACGGCTTGAAATGTGCTTGGATCCATACAAAAACTGGATCCAAGTGGATCCAATTTTTGAATTTTTGAAATTGTTGCTTTGCTGTGACGTAGCACTTTCAAGCCCTATTATGGTCTATAATGTACATTTGTGTGAATCCGAGCGCATCTGAACCTGCCCATCCACTTCTGCCGTGCGTCTTGTGTCATATTCAGCTGCTGAGAAGTGCCCGAATGTTGACATGCATTTCGATCACAAGCTGTCGCGATGTAATATCAAGACAGGGGAGATGACCTACATCAAGTGAGTGTTCAGTTTGCTTCTGTTGTGTGTGTGTGTGTCCGGTCTTGGTGATTCTTTAATTCAGTGGCATTCTCAACGTGTTGGTGATTGTTGTGTGAAATTCTGTACGTGACTGTAATCAATGAGAGGGTTTCCAACTCACCGAAGGATCTGTGGTCTCCGCCGGGTCTAATGGAATCCTATTGACCACCATGTGTACTTGAAGCACCAAGAGTGCATGACCCCCAAGAGTGTGCAACTCCAGCTATGGGGACGACCCCACCGGTCTGCAACGGCAGAACTTCACATCACGTGAGGAACCCGTACACATTTTGCACTCTGTGCATGATAGATACAGGGTTGTACGCAACCCAGCTTTGGGTACAACTCTCTTGTGGTCACTTCGCACTGTTTGCCAGCGTAACCTTTTGAACCATGTCACGTGATGTGAAGTTCTGCCGTCGCAGCACTGTATAGAGGTTGTGCAGGCAGTTGCACACTTTGGGGGTTATGTACTTTTGGTGGTACATACAAATTCAGGTTTAACTCTCTACTTGCCCAATGGCTGGAGTGAGGTTAAAGATTAAACTCATGAATGAAGAATGCTTGCAATGCTGTTTTTTGCCGCCATCGAATCATGGGTTGTGTGTATGGGTGTGTGTGTGTGTGTGTGTGTGTGTGTGTGAGAGAGAGAGAGAGAGAGAGAGAGAGAGAGTGTGTGTGTGTGTTCTGATTTTTTTCTCCTGTGGCTGTGAGTACCTGGGTTTGTCTGCGTAATCCAATATCTTGAAGCGGTTAACTTAAGCTACCATGTCATAGTTGAATCAAATCATTTGTGTGTGTGTGTGTGTGTGTGTGTGTGTGTGTGTGTGTGTGTATGTCTGTCTGTGTGTGTGTATGTCTGTCTGTGTGTCTGTGTTGTAGCTATGATAACACAAGGGAAACAACCGCTGATCTTGTTGTTGGCTGTGATGGTGCCTTCTCTGCTGTTCGTCGATCTGCAATGCGATCAACAAGGTGCGTCTTCAGTCTCTTTACCTTCCAGTTCACACCATACTAGCAATGATGTTTCATTTTTATTCATAGCCAAATCAATGTGTCTGCTGCATAGTCAGTGCCCTGGTAATCGTGTTGTCCCATGAGCTGGGGAGGAGTGTGTCATGGTGCCGAACTGCTTTTCATGTGTGTCCTTTTGCAATGTGGTACACTTGTCTCCACGGTTTTAGTAGAAGTGGACAGCCGTGTTGATTTCTTTTGTCAATCTGTGTGTGTGTGTGTGTGTGTGTGTGTGTGTGTGTGTGTGTGTGTTCCGTCTGTCTTTGTGTCGTTTCTTTATCTCTGCAGGCTAAATTACCAGCAGGAGTACATTCCGCATGGCTACAAGGAACTGACAATGCCACCTAAGGAGGACGGAACAGTAAGCAGTTTTGTGTCAGTTGTGTATTGCGATACCTTCAGAGACTTCAGGAGTTGCTGTGACTGTCACGCTACAGGCACGAGTTTGTGTTGTTATTCCAACCGTTGTCAAGCGTTCACGCACTCGCACACTCATGCACACACGCGCTCACGTGCGTACACACACACGTGTACACACATACACACATGTACAGACACACACATACACACACTCACTCACATACACACATACACACACTCACATACACACATACACACATACACACGTACACACACCACATACACACACACACACCACACACACACCACACACACACACCACACACACACACACACACACACACACACACACACACACACACACACACACACACACACATGTACTTGGTCCGGCTCATCGCAATTGTCGCTTATCTATCGCCACTAAGAGCAGGAGTTTTTTTACCGCTCTGTGAAATTTCCAACAGGCATAGTGAGGAAGCATGATACATGAATACTCTCCGCCACAAGAAAAAAACTCAGCAATTGAATCAGGTGAAGCGAGTCGAAGAAAGGAAGCAAGGTAAGCAAAATGCACGACATAAATCAGCGAAGAAGCGCGTTCTTGCACTCACACTAGTAATACAGGTCCAAAGTTCATTCAACTCTGCATCTCCCGAGCCGCGCCGTTACATGAGCTGACATTTGCTGGTGTCTAGCTGCTAGCTGGCGTAGACTGGTAGAGTATCTCTTGCGTTCTCAGCCTATCGTATGGCAGCAATGGGAATGAAACAGTTGTGGCTGTCACTTCGGTGCTTGAAGGAACCGTGGGCAGTGTGACCTGTGGGTCACCACAGTGTGTTTCAACAAAGCTTTCGAATGAGGCATACAGGCCTCTCCAGACAGCTGTCATACGCTCCGCTGGATACGCTGGCCACGACTCTTGTAATGCGGCTTCTAGGTCCACCAAGAGAAGGAACAACCAACACGTCGGCCGGGCGCATCGCATCAAAAACACCTTTCTTCTTCAGCATGACGCTCATACTCCTCTTCCGTGCACGCGTGCCTGTCGCGCTCTCCAGGCCAGGATGTCAGTTGCCCCTGCTACAGTTCCGGTCTTCGGGTCGCTGCGCTTGGCTTTTGGCAACACAGACAGTGAATGGCCAGATTCCCACTTCCCAAAAAAATCGAATACATCGCAATTCAAAGCGCTAGTCGCGATCATTTTTTCTTTGGTGCCTCCTTTGATCTTGCCATCACGATCTCCCAAGCAAAAGTAAGTTAGATTTCGTGATTGGACTGGGTTTTACCTGTCAAAAAGTGCTTGGGGGATAAGCGACAATTGCGATGAGCCGGTCCAAGTATACACAATATTGTTAACAGTCAATTGCTGTTCAGTTGTGACATTTACTGGACTGTTACCATTCTTTGCATTTTCTATGACTACGTATAAGTCTATAACCACTGACCCCTAAGTGGTATGAATGTCGTTCAGCCCGCCAAATCCTTTCTACCCAACCATTCATGGACTGCTGCTGGTGTTGCTGATTTGCTGATTGGAGGATGGATGGCATCTGGCCATTCTTTTCTGCTATATCTTTGGCTGGATCATTCATTGCTCTTCGCTGTGTTTTATTTGATTGTTCTTCAGCATGCGATGGCCAAGAACTGCTTGCATATATGGCCACGGAACGAATTCATGATGATCGCTCTTCCCAACCAGGTGCGTGTGTGTGTGTGCGTACGCGTGTGTGTGTGTGTGCGTGTGTGTGTGTGCGCGTGTGTAGGTGTGTGTGTGTAGGTGTGTGTGTGTGTAGGTGCATGTGTGTGTATGTGTATGTGTGTGTATGTGCGTGTGTGTGAATGGAAGTCATAGCACAGTGTACTAGTGGCGTTTTATTCATCCTGTATCTTGTTGGAACGTTTCTTTGTCTGAGGTCTTGTTGATGAAGTTCTCCAGAAAAGGCTTGTTCGTATGGAGTTTCAGAGTTCAGTAGCAATTTGTAAATTCTTTCTTGTCTTGTAAAGAAAGCTTCTGTGTATGTTTTCTTGTTTCCCTGCTCCAGGATGGCTCGTTCACATGTACAATGTTCTGCCCCTTCGACTTCTTTGACAGTGTCAAGGATGAAGTGAGTCCGACGTCTGGACATGTTATTTTTTCAGCAGCCTGTGCCTGCTGTGTAACTATACTTACTCCATTGTGCATAGTTGCTTGTTAATGTCAGTGGTGTTCTGTAGGGTAGAGGTTTAGGTGGACACAGCAAAGAGCAGTTTGTGAGGACGTTGTTCCACCGAAATGGAACTGGTTTTGAGTTGCAGTGTTCTTTGGAGTGGCTGTGTCCACCCGAATCTCGTTCGTGCAGGTCAATGAAACGGTTAAAGTCTAAAAATGTCTTCCAAGTCACCAATCTTCCCTCCCTAGTCTTTCCCATATTGTGCTAGAGACCTGTGTGGAGTGTGTTGGTGTCTTTACTCTTTATGATAATGTGTGTGTGTGTGTTTGTGTTTGTGTGTGTGTGTGTGTGTGTGTGTGTGTGTGTGTGTGTGTGTGTGTGTGTGCGGATTTGTGTTGCGCAGACGACGCTTATCGAACGCTTCGAGCAGTTTTTCCCAGACTCTATACCGTTGTTTGGCCGGTACGTACAGTAATCGAGCGTGACTCGTGTTTTGTGTTCTGGCCGGCACTCTCTACGTCCGGATTCATACTTCATTTCGCGTACAGTGAACACATCACATCGTGAAAAGTTGACTTGAGCTCAACTTGTTTGGCGCATTGCACGACGATCGCGCCTGTACACGAAATCAAGTATGGATTAAGTTGTTTTGTTGTCTGTGAGAGTGCTGTATGAGCCTCTTGCCACAGTTGCGCAGTTCTTTAGATCGGACTGCGATTCTGTTCATAGTGGTGTTAGTCAATGCACGGTCATGTTCAAGGCATAGTGGTGTTAGTCAATGCACGGTCATGTTCAAGGCATAGTGGTGTTAGTCAATGCACGGTCATGTTCAAGGCATAGTGGTGTTAGTCAATGCACGGTCATGTTCAAGGCATAGTGGTGTTAGTCAATGCACGGTCATGTTCAAGGCATCTGTGGGTTTTATACTTTTATTCTGGGTATGATAGTTGCTTCTGCTGCATGCTCTCCTCTGTGAAGAGGGACGAGTCCTGGACGAAGGGTAGATGTAGGCTGCAGTTGTCTGTCCGTACGTGTGGCAGTACACTCGAGCGTCTCTTATCCGGACGCCTCAGATACGGGCACGTCTCTCTACTGGGCACCTTCAGCTTGAGTTCCTATAGCACAAATGCTTCGAATTTGGGGGTTTTGAACTTTTTCCGTATGTGGAATGCTTATTTTTCACTGCCAACCGGTGTAATCCGCACATGTTCATCAGTGGGTTCCTTTTGTATCCTGAACATGCGCAACACGTGCCAAATAAACTTCTTCAAAAACTGAAATGGTCATGGTAGATGAGCTGTCCTGAGATACGGGCAAATCTGAGATACGCGTAGTGCCCGGTCCCAAGGTGCCCGGATAAGAGACGTCCAAGTGTATAGGCAAATGTATTGTACTATGTACTTCTGTTCTTAGGGATCGTCTCGTTGAAATGTACTTCACGAATCCTGTCGGCAGCCTCGTCTCTGTCAAGGTCAGTGTCAGCATCAGTACACACACACACACACACACACACACACACACACACACACACACACACACACACACACACACACACACACACACACACACACACACACACACACACACACACACACACACACACACACACACACACACACACACACACACGCGCACACAGAATGGATAGTTTGCATTTTATTATTGCGGTGTGTGCACAACGACGCATTCAACTAGGGCGAATGTGATGATTTGTCAGTCAAGTCTGGGTGTGATGCTGGTGCAATGAAGATGTTCGCAAGGACCTCAAGGTCTTTGGGGCGGAAATATGTGTACCAGTGCACCCAAGCACTCTTTCTTGCTGCACCAAACAGAAGCATGATGACTGCGCTATGCCTGGTATTGATCCAGTTCCTCAACTTGATTCAAGTGTCCCTTGTGAGCATGTAATACATACATGTACATGTTGTCGAAGTCGACAGCATGTTACAAGGCGAGGACGCACAGTGCGCCTGACAACCATAACCCGGGTTGGCAGAGTCCCGGTCTTCCGACCGTTTGAACCGTATTGGGAACAAACCCCGGTTCGGACCCTCTTTATTCTAGGGGGCGGCGGTTGACGTTGGAATTTTGTGTTTTCACTGATATTGTGTTGTTGTTGGTGGTGGTGGTGGTGTTGGGCCAATTTTCGAATCGATCATTTTCGTCTGATGATCGATTAAGTTCGTGAAACTCGGAGTTACGAAACCGCAACTGCTCGTTCTTCTCTCTCCCGCTCTTTGCCTTCGGCAAATTCAGCCCTCTACGGACGGTGGATGAACTTCACATGGTACATTTACATGTTGTGTGACACACATGTATCCATGTGTACTTCATGCTTGGGCTGCTTTGGTTGTGTTCTTTTTCTGTGCAGTGCAACCCTCATAATGTGGGTGGACGCTGTGTACTGCTGGGCGATGCTGCTCATGCTATGGTGCCATTCTACGGTCAAGGCATGAACTGTGTAAGATGTACTGATGTGTGTGGGGACTAGGTGTGTGCGTGTGTGTATGTGTGTGTGTGTCTTTGTGTCTGTGTGTGTGTCTGTTTGTCTGTCTTTCTGTTTGTCGGTTTGTCTGGCTGTCTGTCTGGGAATGACCATAGGGCGGGTATGCAGTACCTAATGGACCCTGCTATAAATGTGTTGGGTGAGTTGATTGGGCAATGTCCAGCTAGGGACACAAACAACCATAGCATAGTACTTTCATTGTAAACATTTAGTATACCTGACGCTCGGAAAACGAAGGGTGGCGCCGAAAAGGTGCAGACTCGCGTATGGAGGAAGATGCCGTATGGTCTATTATTTGGCATACAGCCTACTACAAGTTTTTGTAACGTTAGTTAACACGCATGCACTCGCTATTGCAGACCAGTGGAGAGCACACATCATATGGAGGATTCATGGAGTGCTGGGCAACCGAATCTGGCATGTGATAATCATGTAGGATAGTCCACGCACGAGGTGCAGCCCATGAAATGGGCACCCATGAACTGGGCGAAGTGTGGACGGCCTGTATGATAGTGTGTATGTATGTCCACGCACAAAGTGCAGCCCACGAGATGGGCGCCCATGAAATGTACGGAGTGTGGACGGCCCACGCACGAAGTGCAATGCCCATTAGGAGGCAGGAGTGTGGGAGTATGAGTGTGATGGCCGAAGGCCGTGATAATTGCCAGATGAGAGGAGATAGCTGGCCCATGGTTGCCCAGCCTCCATGCTAAGTTGTGACGCATTGCAATGCACGTGAATGACACTGTTGTTGCTATCAGCGCAGTTTGTCAGCACAATCCTAGCAGAGCAAGTTGCTGTGCTGTTCCAAACGGTCAGCCGTGTGGGTACGTGCATGGGTGCGAGTTGCGTGCCCGCGTGGCGGGTTCTTACATACCTCCATGCGTTCTGTGATGCGCTTGTACCTCTGACAGCTTTTGGGTCAGCTGCGCCATGTCTGTGTCGGTTGTCCTGATGTAGCGCAAGACACTGTCGCTTCTCCATCGGCCCATTGCCCTGATTAGCCAGTCAGGGGTACCCGCTATGGCTGCAGTTGTGGCGGCACCGATGCGGAACGGATGACCAGCGTAATCGCGTGAATTGGGTGTTCCCGTGAGTGGGAGAAGCTGTCGGAGCTCTTCTGTCAGTGCCTGCCTGGTCAGCGGTCTCCCAGAGCGGTAGCGGAAGAGTGCGTCAGCGGCGTCAGACGGACAGACTGTAAAATATGCCAGGAGGGCGGCAACCGGGAAACGTTGTGAAGTGGTACTACCGATTATCACTGCATGGCCCTGACGGAATTGGTCCGTCTTCGATTGCTTGATGTGGAAGCGGATATATGTGCGTCCTTGAGTGACATCCAGAGTCACATCCTGGCGCGTGGCATGAGTGGCAGGGTCAAACCCGGCTGGAGGCGCAGTGAATTCAGCGCACCGGAGAAATCCGAAGAAGGCGAGCACCATTGCCGCCTTGAGCATGCACTTGTCCTGCTGGTGACGCCGTTGGTCCAGGCTGAGTTGGTTGAGGAGCTTCCGCAGCAAATCAATGGTGATTGGGAGGCGAGTGCGCTGGATTGCCGGGTCAGTCGCCGTCCTCTTGATGCCTCGCATAACACGTGGCAGCAGCAATGCGTTCATCGTTGGATCTCGGAATCCGGCTTCGAGATGCATGTTGCGTACTGCGGCCATGTAGACATGAATTGTCTGTGGTTGAGCCGATTGTGTGAGGTGTGCTGCGAAGCAGCTGAGCATCGTGTCTGTAGCCGGCATGGGCGTCCATCTCTGCAACGCACAGAATTGCGTAAATTTCCTTTCGCCAGTGGTGTACGTGCGCCGTGTTGTCGGGGCGATTGCCATGGCTGCCAGGTCGGCGACCTCCCGCATCAGTCCAGGAGAGGGAGGCGGATTGCAGTGTCCGGGGCTTGCTGTGCCGATGGTGCCAGCTGCTGGAATGCCTGCAGGTTGAAACGAGACAGAGCATCGGCGATCGAATTCCGATGCCCAGGTACATATTTGGCAGTAATGGTGAAGCTGTGAGTTGCACAAACGAAGAACAATGCACGCAGCAGTGACATCATGCCTGGTGACTTGCTGGAGCTTGACTGCAGGCATTCGACAACGGACTGATTGTCGCAATGCATTACTATACGTTGCTGGGACCACAGATGGCCCCAAGTACTGCAAGCCATTGCCACGGCATAGAGCTCTTTGTGTCCGATGCTCTCTTCTTCTTGCTCCTTTGTCCAACTGCCCTGGATCCAGCGCTGCTCCTTGCCGTAGAATGCGCCCCAGCCGAGAGTGCCGCTAGCGTCTGTGTACAGTCCAAGGTCGTCCGACGATGTACTGCTGTTATAGAGGAGGAATGCCTTCCCATTCCAGTGCTGGATCAGAAGCTGCCACCAGCGGATGTCTTTCCTGGCCTCGCCTGTCAGAGTGATACGGAAATAGGGCTTGGCGCGGCTAAACCTCTTGTTGATATCCCATAAGCGCCACGTAAATGTTCTGCCTGGTACGGCGACGCTCGACGCAAAGGAGAATTTCCCCAGGAAGTGATCGGTTTGCGTTGCGTGGTCTGGGTGCAGCGTGACACCTCGCTGAGGAGCTTGCGGAGGTCCGCTAGTTTGTCGTCTGGGAGACGGGCTTCCATGCGCACCATGGCCAGCACAAGTCCGAGGAAGGCAGTAATGTGTGAAAGCGAACCGTGTTCAGGGGAGTGGAAGTCGGCTTACTTTTTCTCAGTTGGCTTCGAAGTCTTCTCGTGGCTATCTGCAGGGCACTGCCACCTGAAGCGGGTGGTGCTGGTGCAGGATGTGGTGGCATGTCCTTTGTCTTCACAGGAGCAGCAGGCGTAGAGACGGTCGCAGGGTGTGCGGGAGCAGGGCCTGCCGCGGTTGAAGTTAAAACAGACTTGGCGGGTGCTGCCCGCCACTGATGGAAAGGGCTGCGCGTGTTGAGCTGCGGCATGTGGACAGCGGTCGCGGCTGTGTTGGAGCGTGCATTTGGTGCATGACCGACGGGGAGAGCGGAGTAGGTGAATACTCCACAGCGTCTGATTGATCACGTCCCAGCGCAGTGCCATGCTGGCGGTGTGTTGGCGAAATGCTCGATCATAGTTCAGCACAGCAGACGTCGTGAACTGTTGGTTCGCAGTACAAAGTATGTGCTGGTAGCAGATGAGCTCATGAGCTCGGTCAGGACGAGCACGAACGACGATGCCCATGTAGATCGACCAGGCCTCCAGCCAAGCCGAGAAGTCGTTGATCGCGCGTGTGTGCTTTGCGTTGAGGTTGAGCGAGAGCTGAGCCATGTCGCCGCCAGCTGTAACCAGTTGTATTGGCTCCTGTCCCTGAGAGCTGAAGTTTTGCGGCAAGAGTTCCTCAAGTTCAACAAACTCTCCGCGCTGGATTTTTTCAATCGCACGACGTGGCGGTGTGGGTAGAACCGAGGGCTCGGAGAGAACTGGAGGTCCTGGCAAAGTCGGAGGTTCCGATAGAACTGGAAGTTCCGGGCAGGATAGGTCCGGAGCTTGACGCTCCGAGCGTGGGAGCGATCTTTCAGGTGCGGAGCGCGCGCGTGGGAGAGATCGGCTTCCAGACTCAGCACTGTTCTCCACGCGTTCCACGCGCTCGAGGAGAGGGTGGAGGGCGTTCATCTTCATCACGGCTGAGGAAATGATGTCCGGGGAGAGCAATGAGGGCTCGTCCTGCATAGAAGCTTCGGTGCCTGGAGCGGGGTCAGAAGTCTGAACTAGCTGCTGACGGTGTGTCAGAGGCATCAGGCGTGAAGGCGCGCATGCCATCAGTCCGCGCATATGGCGAGGTCGAAGCCCTACCCGAGCGGCGACGGGCAACCTCGACGGCATGTCCGCGTCCACGTCTGCTTCCTCGTACAGAGCCTCGTGGCATGGTGAAAGAGTGAGAAAGGAACAAACCGGTGTTCTTCTCACTACCCAAGCAAAGCAAATATGAAGTAGCAATGTGGCCAGCGCGAAGTATGGTGTATGCGTTACGGGTTCAAGCTCCGATGTGTGCTGCAGCCGCATATGGCTGGTTGGCTGGCGAGTTCAGGTGAGTTCCGGCGTACGCATGTTACATGCCACCACAGCGTGCATGTACGTGTTACTTGACATGCATCAATGAATAGCGTGGGATCTGCGGGCTCTTTGGAAGCCGCTGGAGCGCGTGTGAAGTGGTGGCTTGTGCAATGTGTTAACCTTCATTACCGCAAGCTCTAATGTGCTATATTCACCTTCAATGGCCAATGTAGTGTACGGTTCCTTGCACCAAGCAGTTCATTTTCACTTGCTAGCTGCACCTTCTTCTTTCTTATTCTTTTTGGAGATCTGAGCTTGTGTGTGTATATCTTGTGCTATGGAACTTGTGTTCTTCTGATCTTCGTAGGGCTTTGAAGATTGCCTGTTGCTTGATGAACTGCTGCTGAAGAACAAACTGGATTTTGGTAAGCACTGATAATAACGTTTAACATTCTACTCCCCATGCTAGAGTATAGAGTAGACACACACGCGTGCAGGACGCGACACACCAAAAGACACAAGAGTGAGTTTGGAAGAATGGGAATGTCGGGCAGAGTAGCTGGCCTCAATTGAGTGCGCGTTAACGAATCGTGTGGTCGGCCTACCGAGGGCAGGAGCTGTATATGACCAAGTGGGTCGGCCTGCGCTGAGCAGGAGCGGTTTGTGACCCATGCGAGTTGGTGGGTCGGCCTGCGTTGAGCAGGAGCGGTTTATGACCCATGCGAGTTTAATAGTAGTGCGCGAGAGGCCAGTTACGGAGGAGTGCCCATGCCGACATTCCCATTAGGGCCAGAGGAGATAGCGGGTGATAACAGCCAATATAGATGGTAAGTATGTATTGCACGAGAGCGTTGTTCTAGAGGCATAAAGTCAGACTGATATTGTGGAGTAGGATCGACAGAGAACGCTATCTGCATCCTAAGTGAATGTCTTTGCACTTACTCAGTGATCGGCTGGACCATGGTGTCAGGCCGCTCCGCAGCTGTAGGAGCAAAGGTCCTGAAGGCATCCATCTTGTTCCGGGGCAGGGTATCAGCGATGGTATTGGAAATTCCTGGCAGGTGCGATGCTCGGATCAGGAAATTGTGCTTCGCACAGATTGAGTACAGGGTGCGGATGAGTGCCATGACTGCAGGAGACCGGCTCGTGCCCGTCTTCAGGCACTCCACGACAGCTTGGTTGTCGCACTGAAACTCCACACGCAGCCACTCGATCCCTCATGTGGCGCAGGCCACGACAATGGCGAAGAGCTCCTTGTAGGTAATGCTTAGTTCCAGTTGCTGCGGGGACCAGTCACCTTTAAACCAGCGACCATTGAAGAAGGCTCCAAATCCAATGGTGCCACTTGCGTCGGTTTGCGACTGGAGGTCAGCGCTGGGCATCCACTTCTCTAGCAGGAAAAATGACTTTCCGTTCCATGTTGACAGAGTCTGGTGCCACCAGCTCAGGTCGCCCTTGGCTGAGGCTGAGAGGTGCAGCATTCGGTGAGATGACATCTCAGATGTGGCCTTGTCGAGGTCATACAGGCAGCGTAAGAATGTACGGGCGGCCGGAATTGCTCTGGAAGCGAACGAGAGGTGGCCCAGGAGTGAGGCGAGTTCGCGTTTGCGAACGCAACCAGATATAGCAGCAGAATGGCCTATCGTGAAACCGTGACACAACCCATGCAACACAAAGTGAGAGAAGGAGTGATCAGAATGACGGTTAAGGAGCCCGGCTAATCGGCTAACATTGATGGGGATCTCCACAGAATGTTTACGGAGCAGACGCTGAGGTGGCGGACTGTCCCCCGCCACATTTGACTTCCGGGTGCTTCCCGCGGCGTTGAAGGCACACGTGGGCACGATAGCAGAATGAGTTGTTGCACTGGTCCCTGTTGAAGTTGCGGCAGATAGGCTTCCCAAGATGGGCTGGCGCGCTGGACTGCGGCGGACCTCCACTCCCAGCGCCGTCGGATGAAGGCCCTGGTCTAAAGAGACACCGGGCCTTGGCCACTGGGTGCACCAGAGAACAGCGCGAACATGGCGGGCGACCACGGCTGGTGAATGACGACTGCCACAAATTAGAGTCGATGATAGCCCAGTCGTACGACAGTGGTTGGGAGGCTATGGCGCGCCGGAACTTAGCCATGCGTCCACATGATACGAGTTATTTGCATCCAGAATAGTGGCCTGATATGCCAGCAAATCATTTGCCCTATCTGGAGCCGCCGCGACAATTACTCTCGTGTAGACAGTAAACGCCTCGAGCCATGACGCTACATCGTGGACATGGCGGCGCTGGGCCTGAGTTGGCTTCTGTACAAGTTGGACAGAGCGGTTAGCCCCCACAGCTAGCTGGACCACATCGGGCTCCACACCCACCTGGTCCGGGAGGAGGTCGTCGAAATCAATAAACTCGCCGCGTTCAATTCGCCCGAGGAGTTTATCAGGTACAGAGAGCGACGGACGAGCAGCCGGCGGATGGCCCAATGCATGAACGGAGCTGGAGTTGACAGGCGACACGACGGCTGCAGCAGATTCCAACTGCTCTACTCGCTCCATCAGGGGCTGGAGGACCTGGCCGACGGCCTGAGAAACAGCCGAAGCAAGTACATCAGGGGCCACACTCAAGGCGGCGGCAGAAGAAACTGACGGCGCAACGTCGGAGACAACAGAGGGCGCGGAGGAAGATAATGGTGTCCCGGTTGGTTGACGACGAACAGGAGTTGGCCTCGCTCGCGCATTACTGCCTGCAGCCGAAGTTTGAGTTGCGGCCCCGGGATCAGGGGCCACATTCAAGGCGGCGGCAGAAGAAACTGACGGCGCAACGTCGGAGACAACAGAATCCGAGTGGGGAGGTATTGGAGTTCTGGGCGATTGAAGACGAACAGGATTTCGCCGCACACGCACATTACGTCCTGTATCCGAAGGTTGAGCTGCCACTCTGGCCGATGGCGTCTTTTGTCTGGTCGAGAAACGAGCCATCGTGAGAATATAATACTCAAATAATCTCCGGCCGCTGAAGACACGTAGTCTGACGGGACTGAGCTGAGAGAGAACAAGGAAAGCGAATACTAAAGACGGCAGCCAATCGGCAGAACTAGGACTGACACTCTGAAGCAGGACGGAGGCAAACTCAAATCAGAAATCAGAATTTTGAAAGCTGACTGCAGGCAAGGAAACTGGAAAGACAGCAAGCTCTGTTGTGCGCACAGGAAATCTGCGCATGCGCAGAGCGTGGGCATGTGGTCTATGATACACAGCAGTATGTAGAGAGAGCAAGATTGTGCACACACGTAAGGAGGGTTATGCAACCCGTTATAAAGGCCAACAGCGAAGCAATGGTACGTGACTGTTAACAACGGTTAACTCCTACGTTAACCGAACATTTGATGAGGATAGCGTAACTCCCCTGTAGCCCATGTCATAATCAATCATTCATAGTACCTTCCAGCGCATACAGCCGCACTAAGTCCTGGTAGTAACACAATAAATATGGCGAGTTGCACCTCACTATATTTATTGTCTCCTCGCGGATCATTTGTATATTTAGTGTGCTCCACGGAAACTGTTCAATCACTGTCAACGCTTAATATTTTGTACTGTGAACTGGTGTGTGGATGCTTCTTCTCTACCTTTTATCGCTGGTTTGTACCCAGGACTTTTATCCAGCTAGCCACCAACTTAGTGTGGAGTGTTGTGCTCTACCAATGTATAATCATGTCTAGATAGTAGATACACGAGTACTTGGTCAAAACTACCCAGGGTAGTCCAACCCAACCCACAGTGTATTCAGTTGTGCCGGTGATAGTTTGGATTGGTACCGTATTTTACCGGTTATAAGTCGACCCCGGTTATAGGTCGACCCCCCGTATCCGGAGGTCTTAATTATGTTTTTAAAGTGTTTGCCCAACGAAGCACTGCTAACCGCTCCCTGCTACTAACACATGAACAAATCACATAAACACTCCTCATTGGATTCTGAAACATCCCAATCCTTGAAAAAGGCAAATAAACTTGGCAAAAATGCATACACATGGTGCACTCGTGTATTCAGTGCAGGTCATTTTTGGAAGATACCGATAATTCCCGGTTATAAGTCGAATCCCTGTTGTAAGTCGACCCCCACCTTTTCTCCTGCTATTTTCAGTCGTAAAAGGTCGACTTATATTATATAAACCGGAAAAATACGGTATTCAGTTGACATGGCAACACATGCACATGCCAGGACTGCTCTAGTACCACCCAGCAGTGCTCTTTTTATTGTCTGATGCAAATGAATGGAACTCATGTGGTGTGCCTTTGTGCTATGTGTGCTAAGCTTTTCCGCGTCGGCATCAGCACAGGCTAGATAGCAGCGTTACTGCATCTATAATCCAGAGTCCAGTATATCTCTTAGTGTTTTGCGTCAGTCTCCATTGTTCTGCTTTCATCATTCTCATCGCTTTGTCCCTGCACAGCTGCCACACTTGATGAGTACAACAGTAAACGGCAGCCAGATGCCTATGCCATTTGTGATCTGGCAATGTACAACTACATCGAGGTGAGGACAACATGTACATGTAGCTGCTGCTGCTGCTGCTGTTCACGGCGTTGCCGTGTGCCTGCTTACTTCAGCAGCTGTGAACCTGTATTGTAGGGTAGCATGGGCTGCTGCAGGTGCAGCGATCCGTCTTATCTTCTGTGATACTCAACCCTCCAGACAGCTATCTGTTTCAACCTTGTTAGGTCTCATCAACACAGCTCAGAGTCACTGGACGACCCAATAGCAATGAAGTCTATAGTGCGTTTCAAAAGTATAGACCTCTAGACTTTTTTAAATAATTCAAATTTTTATTTGAGAGAAATTTCTTCGGAATATTGCTCAGGCAGCCCCGTAATTTTTCTCATGCTGGTATAAATTTCGAAGCGATTGAATAACAAACGCCTAATTTCGGAAATTTTATGCACAAAGTCATCACAGATTCGATGTGGTATAGATGCTGGCCTACCGGTGTTTTGAAAGCAGAGGTCTGGACTTTTGAAACACACTATAGTGAGCAGCAAAGCATTTTTTAAATTTAAACTGGCCAAAAGCACCAGAGTCAGTGTGCCCTAACAGGGAGACACATAGCGAGCTTGGCATGAGGGCAGGTAGCTATGAGGCTAGCCAGAAGGAGTGCTCAACCAAGCAGAGAGAGAGAGAGACAGAAACAGACAGAGACAGAGACAGACAGAGAGAGACAGACAGACAGACAGAGACAGACAGACAGAAACAGAGGCAGACAGAGACAAAGACAGAGAGAGACAGAGAGAGAGGTACAGATCTCGTGGTGTGTGTGGACTATCTGTACATGTATGCTGGAGCACTTGTTAGTATGCCAAATTTAGTGCTGGCAGAGCTATGAAATGATCAGGTTCGCAATCGTCGCTCTTCATGTAATTCTCCATGTGCAAATCATCGCATAGATATATTGCTTCCAAGAAGCTCTGACTCGTCTGAGTAGCGCCAATGTCCTAGTGAAACATTGTGTAACCAGCCTATATCAGGCTATGCATGTAGTGGACTACACCTGCTTGCTGTGTAGAATAGCTCTGCGTAGTGCCTTGTTCTTCTTGAGCCTTTTGTCAATTTTCGTTTGCGTGCGTATGTGTGGGTGTTGGTGTGTGTGGGTGTTGGTATGGGTGTGCACCTGTGACTCGCTGTTTGGATGTACAGATGCGGTCGTTGGTGAATTCCAAAAGCTTTCTGCTGCGTAAGAAGGTGGACAGCCTACTCAACTACCTGTTCCCGAGGTCGTTTATCCCTCTATACAGCATGGTGAGTGGATGTGCACTCTCGCGTTGCTGAATGGGAATCCTCCAGTCTGCATGCCTACATCTTATTCTAATCATTCAATTCTTTTGTGCATGAATAAATGGTGTTAGTGGACACTTTAGCGGAACTTGTAGTTCCTTGGTCCTTTTTCTCTTCTATAAATTAAATTCTTTCACCTTCGGTTAGCGTGCGAAAGACAAGGCTGACTTCACAGCTGATGTTTACAGCATGTGTTGATGAGAATGATTACTGAGACCAGCGACTGACCCATGTCATTTTCTTTTCTGCTACTGTGTGTTGCTCGTCCAGGTGACATTCTCCAGAATTCCATACGGAGAGGTGATTGAACGGCGGAAACGACAAGATAAGGTTAGTGTCTCCACAGTACAGTGGTCCCTCTATAATCCGGCACCATTTGTGCCACGAAAATCTGCTGGATTAGGGAGGGTGCTGGATTAACAAATCTGATTTACCGCTGCAATGTGCATGAAGAGGACATTTTGGCTACTGAAAATTGTGCTGGTTTATCGAGGGTGCTGGATTATAAAGTGCCGGATTAGAGAGGGACGACTGTACTTTGTAATGTTTCTGCCGTGCACAAACACGCAAGCGCTCACACACACTGCATCTCTCTCTCTCTCTCTCTCTCTCTCTCTCTCTCTCTCTCTCTCTTCTCTCTCTCTCTCTCTCTCTCTCTCTGTCTCTGTCTCTCTGTCTCTGTCTCTCTCTCTCTGTCTCTCTATCTCTCTCTCTGTCTCTCTATCTCTCTCTCTGTCTCTGTCTCTCTCTCTCTCTCTCTCTCTCTGTCTCTCTCTGTCTCTCTCTCTCTCTCTCTCTCTCTCTCTCTCTCTCTCTCTCTCTCCGTCTCTCCTCTCTCTCTCTCTCTCTCTCTCTCTCTCTGTCTCTCTCTCTCTCGCTCTCTCTCTATCTCCGTGTGTGTGTGTGTCTCTCTCTCTCCCTATCTATCTATCTCTCCTATCTCCTATCTATCTCTTTGCATGAGGGTATGGGATGGTGAGGGTTTATGGACTACAGCATAGTAGCACCACAGTCCAGTGCAGCACAGTAGGACGGCATGTCCAACTCAGCTGCAGACATGCCTGAGCATATTTGCATGCACTCCATCGCTCGACGTGCTGCGATCTATGCCTTTCACCATGTCCATCACTGAGCGAGATGCACACTCTGGTTTCATTACTCGTGTTGCCTGCCCCCCCCCCCCCCCAACTTTCTCATTTTACAGTTGAAAACGTTGGTAGCCATGCAAGAGTTTCATTAGAACTTCAAAGAGTACATACATGTGATATCTTTGCAGTAGAGAGTCACCAGCTACACAGGCATTGTACTATTATTGGTTCACAAGTAGCTACTAAGGGGCCATCCGTAAATACCGATATTTAAAAAAAAACGAAAACTAGTCCTTTCTCTTCAACCCCCTGTGATGATATTGTCTCCTTCACACCCCTCCCTGAGAAACGAACACATACAAGCAGTACATAGTGTCGATATTTTTTTCTGGACGTGTGCACACATACAAACTGTGCATCGATATTTTTCGAGAAACGAACACGCACTCGACCCCCTCCACTCTAAACGACTAGTTTTCGTTTCTTAATATATATCTATATTTACGGATGGCCCGTAAGGTAGGAGCAGGCAATGCTGAGACAAGAGGTTTTTTTTTTCAACAGTGAATAAAACGTAGTAATAACTAAGCCAGCGCTTTGGCTGAGTGGTTGTCGGCTTGCCTGCGAATCACAAGGTTCCGAGTTCAAGACCCGCGCTGGGAGCAGGGAGCGTGTACTGTGCTAACAAAATGCGGTGATGCATGCGTGAACTACTTTACGTGCAATGAACTGCGCTGACACCCACGGTCAACTGGGCACTCACTACTCGGAGTGAGAGTAACATGGATGCAGCTAACGAGGTGCGCCCCCTTGTCGGGCATTGGTTGTGAGACTTACCACCTCACCCTCGCCGTTAGGAGCTGCATCTGCCACCCTGGTATTACAGGCATGGTGGTGGCCTGGCACGAGCGAAACTTCCTAAGCTGGTTGTGTTTCTCTATACAATTGTATAGCCGGTTGTAACGCGGACGTGCAAACTTTACTTTTTAAAAACTACTTGATATTAGTAATTTAAAAGTAGGCTCCAGTCTAGTTACAGGTTTTGTAGAATCTTTACCATTTTGTCCGTGCGTTTGTGTGTGTGTGTGTGTGTGTGTGTGTGTGTGTATATGCGTGTGTGTGTGTGTGTGTGTGTGTGTGTGTGTGTGTGTGTGTTTCAGCTTGTGAAGATCGGAGGTGGAGTGTTTGCACTCACGGCAGGCGCTCTGTTGTGCTATGGCGTGTACAAACGGAGAGAGTTGCTGCACTTAGCACTGCGCTACTTTGGCAATCTGATCACGCTCACTTCAACACCGCAGAAAACCATCGCCGGCTATCTGAAACTGTCATGAGGGGTTCCACAGACTTGTGACTGTGTGAGTATCTCGTCACGTTTGTCTGCGTTCTGGAAGACGCTGCTGAATCGGTTGTGGCTAGTGGCTGCCGTGACTGCTTAATTAACGGGTGGTGGATAGCTGCACGCCTTGGAGACATGCTGCTGGAATTCTACCAGCCTGCTGGCGTGATTAGCTCCCGACCTGATTGGCTGGTACACCGGTATGTGATAGTGACAAACATGTATTTCCCTGTCCACGAACACTTCATCTACATTCGTTTTGTCCGTCATCTGAGCACCCTGTGAAACCTGGAGGTGAGGTTGAACTATCCCAAGCCCTCGGTTTCCCAGCCCAGCCGGAGGACAATCCGTGCCGGTGGTTGTGTCCGTCTTATTGCTACTCCACTGCACTCTGCAGTGGGGTTTGTGCATAGCATTCTGTTTCTGGTATTTGAATATTTTTGACCAAGTTCTTTTTTTTGTGCTGATTATCTCTTATGCTTACTGGCCCTGACTAATTAGGGGGCCGTTGTGTTGCAGCGTACCGGAACCTCTGGTTTTCGGGGTAGCTGACTTTCTATTCGTTATTGAGCTCCCCCCCCCCTCCACCACCACTACCCACCCCGCCCCCATCCACCCTGCCCCCTTCAGAGGAGTGAGGACACGTTAATACAGTTCTACTTCAGTATTTCTATTTTTATTTTCTTGACCCCGGGAGATTTGGAGAGTGTTGTTGCCCCACTCGCTACAATGTAGACATATTAATTTGTGCCTGTGTTGTGATGGAGAATGTAGGCTGTGTGTCGGTGACAACTGGTGGAGGGGGCATGCATCTTGCTGTGTGCATGTGGTGCCATTTATTCTTACAAACATGAAGAGAGGAGGTCTAGTCGGAGTGTGTTGTAACTGATTGCTTTACTATTGTGTCATGAAAAAGTTACAACCCAATCCGACTGGATCTATTTTCTTCATAAAACTTGGTATGTATTGATAGCTCTGTGCTCTGCGCCATTCGAGCACTTTTCTTGGCAGTTGCCACGACTTTCTGTCCTATTTTATTCTTGATGGCTAGACATGCAGTTGCATGTGACTCGATGATGCCTTGGTTCTTGGATTGGTTGTCCCATCAGTTCCAATTTGTCCGGATGGTGTCGCTGCTGTGATATGGTGCATGTGTTGTGCGTAATGTACTTGTATATTCATTCCATGTTGCCAGGGAATAACGGTTTATGGGAAATGCACGAGCAGTAACGGTACATTGAACCTACATGTATTAACTATTATCACATTCAATCTCGTCACATTATCAGTGATGGAGTCGTACGGTATTTAGTATTTTCGGCTCCCTGCTATCAAGCAAGGCTTTCATACACTCTCTCTCTCTCTCAACATGACTGTACCAAATGTTTTACTCAATCTCTGGAAAGCTAACCTACAAGTACCGGTAGTAAAAATGTAAATAGCTGTTGCGGCCTCACTTATCATGTTAGACAAACACTTTTAATTATTTTTATCCAGGCCTGTATGTTGCCATGGCATCGTTGTTCGCTGTGTGCTTGGAAACGAGGCTAGGTTGCCTTCCTCTGCTCGAGATTTTTTGACTTGATCAGTTGATGTTTGTTGCCGTTCACGGACAGACCCAGTGTGGACCGTTACCGGTGTGTGCATATGACTCATAATATATTATGAGTGCATTCAAACTAAGCAACTAACTTCGGTCTTCACTCATTTTTCCTGACAGTGACACCCGGTGTTGTGTTTGTTCCACTGGCTTCGCATCGTTGCAGCTGAGAACGGGAGAGACCTTGTTTGATTGATCGCGAGCGCTGGAAAAGAAGTACTGTGACGGCTGCTGCACCATCCTGATCATCTACAGCAATCATGTCGGATAGCGACGTTGAGCCTCCCTCGCCAGATCCAGACGTTGACGACGACGAGGACAACGAGCATGACGACGAGGGAGACGCAGGGGTGGGTACCGCAATGAACAATGCAAACTATAGCTGCTTGAAGTCTTGCAGCCTCACTATGCCTCAATACATATGCCTATGCCTATGGTCACTCGCCGCGGTGTCCTTCCGTAGAAGAAACAAACAGACGAAATTTGCGTTTGACTGATGTCGTGAGCGTATTAGCGTCGGGGTGCGAGAGAGACACGTCATGCCTATGCTAGTGTGCTGTGCTGTTGTCAGCAAATGGGGGTGGAGGCTAGAGGTAGTGGCCGGTATGCAACCATCACAACTGAGTAATACAACCCTAACCCAGCGGCGGATCCAGAGTTCACCTGAGGGGAGGGCACGGGTAATATTCATGACAGGGAAACCTATGCGGTACCTGTATTTTGTACACATTACGACATAGCGGCTATTTTACGTCATAGGCTTAGCGGTTATGTAGAAGTACTATTTTAGCACATGCACCCACTCCCACTTTTTCAACCACTTCATTGAGGACTCTGGCTGTAGTAGAACATAGCCGTACTACATTGAATTGTGTAAAGATAGTGCTTCAAAGCTCCAGACATGCTGAGATCGAGAACAATGGCAAAATTATAAAATATACGATTACTTGGATGGCCATGTCCGGCAGTAAGAATGGATGATGAGGTATTCACCTCGGGTTGATCCTTGTCGCGTCGATGCAATGTAGGAAACGGGACGCACGGCGCACAAAAAACGCCTTCCTCGCCAGCCTTTCCGGAATAGGCAAGCCACTCAAACCTCTTCAGTAGCAGCGAGCGAGTGGAAGTACCGGTCTTTCGGCGGCTGTCGGGATAATCCCTAGATGGCAACACCGTCTGCTTATCAGGCTTCCGGATCCCAAGTATGTTGCGCTTTTCTGCATCGCTGACAGTTGCACCGCCAATAGCTGCATCAACGGCATCCGAGTAACTTCGCTCCGTAGCAGTGCCACCAGCCACATTCGTGACAGTCACAACGTCGTCATCTGCGATAGTTTCAACAGGTAAACGCTCCTGACTCGCATCCGATGGTGAGACTGTCAGTAGTAGTGACTACTACTGACAGTCTCACCATCGTCGTCAGAATCTACTTCGGATTCCATTTGGGGAAGATCAGAGTCTGAGCAGACCTCGATCTCAGGATCTTCGCGGTGGTCCGAATTCTCCTCCAAAGACGGATCGCTCGGCTGAGCAGCTGACGAAGCGCAAGTTCGCTTCGCGAAAAATCCGTGGAGAGTTTGTTGGCTCCCTAGCCGCTTGGGCGGGCGGTGCGCCATCCCCTTCACCGACTTAGCTATATAAGTTCGTGAACTGAACACTAATTTCAAAACTAAAAGTCAACCAAAGTCTAAGAGAACAACTACTCCGTGTTCAGAAGAACGTTCTTACCTGACACTAGAAACTACTTGTCACAGCATGTGCAAACACTTGCGCAACTGCCCATGTGCATGCACTAAAAAAAATTGAACTGTTTGAGGGGAGGGCGCGCGCCCACCGCGCCCTCCCCTAGATCCGCCACTGTAACCCTAACAGGGCCCCCGGCTTCGGAAGGTAATTTATTTAGGGTGGTAAGGTCAGCCATCTGAGGTACAACTTACTTGTTGGGAAGGGTGGCTATGCTGAAATGTTTCCAAAATGAGAGTCAAAATCAGTGCTTTTGATTGATTCACGGGGTATCTGGGGCAAAAAGTGGTACGGTCAATACCGTAGTGACCGTAGCGTGTCCGACGTCCCTGCACACTGATACAGTACACCCCTGTCAAAGCTCCTGAATATTTTATCACACTTCCTTATACGAATGGTGGCACAATCATCCCCAACCCCCTGGACTTGGCATACATGTGTATCGGGGTGTGTTTGTGAGCAACTCATCAGGTCGGGGACTGCCAGGGGGGAGACAGTAGCATGCACACGGTGTTAGTAGATGTACATGGAGCGTGACTTTCACGAAGCTATGGCAGGGATGAATTTATCCGGTATCGCATCGCAGTTTGCTACGCAAAATCGATCTACTGCTACTCAAAAATCACAGTGACACGCAGAAAACTGCGATACATACATGTACATGCTATCCATGCTTGTTGTAGCTTACGCCACAATTGAGATTTTGCATAGCAAAAACTGCTATGCAAAAACCTGAAAGTAAATTCATCCCTGTATGGGTATGAACTGCAATCACGGCGAGGCACAGTCGTAGAAAATACAGTAAAACCTGCCATGGCAACCACTCGAATAAGGCAACCACCTGTACAAGAAGACCACGGCAACCAGGACCAAGGTCTATTTCAGTCAAATGACCCTGGATAAAGAGTCCACCTGGTGACAGAGATCACGCTTTGAAGGTCCCTTGAGCGGTCGTCTTAAACAGGTTTCACTGTAGATATTGTTACCAGTGCCAACTGTCTCAAAGCAGTTGAAAAGCTGGCAAATGAGACTCGGCCTCTCTTCGGTTGGAAAGAACGGGGGTTGATTGATGTACTTCCAAGTATGCAGTAGTCTGCACTGTACAATGATAGTATGTGCACATTGCAACCGAAGATGGAGAAATAATGCCGAATCCGCTTTATATGTAGCCGTGTGACTTAGAGTTAGGTGTGGTGTAAACTTTTTGTTTTCTGCTTTGTAGGACCTTGTGGAGTTCCCCCTGACCAAGAAACTGGCTGCAAAGGGATTGTCCGTTCTGGCAAAGACAGGTGATGGACTGGAACATGCCTTTGTCCGTCTACAGATGGTAGATAAGTAAGTTACGTGACTTGTCCATGCACTGGCTGCACAGCAGGAGTAAACAAAGAAGTTAGACGGATTCGCGGCCGCATCACCTGACGTGCTGAGGAACACGTCGAACAGGATTGCTCATCATTAAGTACCACAATAGCACATTGCACTTCTGGTTAAGCCCTCTGTAGGTTATTGCCTCTAGTAATTTGTCATACTTTTGCATTGTTTTTGCTTACTGCCATGGCTGGCTATCCTCCCCCCCCCCCCTATATTGGCCTATATTCCCTGGCCACGGGAAGGTGAAATAAATAAATAAATAAAGCAGGGAGAGGAGTTGCTTACGGCCGGAGTGTGACCAACACCATACGCGGTATTCTTGACCCTAGGCGTAACGAAAGCGTGTGTTCAATTGCACATATGTGCATGTGCTTGATTAGGGATGTGAATGTGTGATCACCCAAATCTCTATGTCCTTTTTTTCGGATATTCGGTTGCCATCTCAGACAAATCACCGACATCAGCATAATCTCCTGCTATGCCTGCTATGTCCACATTCGCTACTTGGTAAGCAGATTCTAGTTCTACATAATCCCCGGCCTGTCTTTCTCTGTGTAAATGCTTGTCTCTCTTTATTTGCTTCTTTCTCCCCCCCCCCCCTTGGTTTGAAGACTCTATTTCTGACTCATATTGTTTGTGTGAGTCAGTCCTCGTTATGTGACAACCTTGGACTGATGGTTGTCATGAGAAAGCGTGTTGCCGGGAGAATGCATGTACTTTTACTTCGCATTGGGATGAGGACACAATTTCGGTTTATTCATCATTATTTTTTGAGAGTCTGAGTAACTCACTGCCGTTGTGTGCAGTGAAACCTGTCCAAGACGACCGCAGAAGGGAC